TGACATACTTATTGTTGGTAGTAATGACAAAATGGTCAAGTCTACCAAGGACATGTTGAATTCAAAATTTGACATGAAAGATATGGGGCTTGCTGATGTAATTTTAGGAGTTAAAATTACAAGAATATCAGACGGGTTGGTCTTGAGCCAAACTCATTATGTGGACAAGATTCTGGAAAAATTCAATAAGAATGATTCTGGAATTGCAAGAACTCCATTAGACAATAGTTTCCATCTATCTAAGAATAGAGGAGAGAGTATTTCTCAAGTAGAATACTCAAGAATCATTGGAAGTCTAATGTATTTAATGAGTTGTACTAGACTTGACATTGCATATGCTGTGAGCAAATTGAGCAGATTTACAAGCAATCCGAGTGCTGATCATTGGAAAGCAATTTTAAGGGTACTTAAATACCTACGGTACACTCGGAACTATGGACTGCATTACACTAGATACCCTGCTGTTTTAGAAGGGTATGCTGATGCAAATTGGATATCTGATATAAAAGATTCAAAGTCCACAAGTGGGTATGTGTTCACACTTGCCGGTGGGACAGTATCTTGGAAATCTTCTAAACAAACTATTGTAGCTAGATCTACAATGGAATCTGAGTTCATTGCCTTGGACAAATGTGGAGAAGAAACTGAATGGCTCCACCATTTCCTTGAAGACATTCCAAAATGGGAGAAACCTGTGCCACCAATTTGTATTCACTGTGATAGTCAATCAGCAATTGGAAGAGCACAGAATAACATATATAATGGTAAGTCTAGACATATACGTCGTAGGCATAATACCATTAGACAACTACTCTCAACAGGAGTTATCTCTATTGATTATGTGAAATCAAAGGATAATATAGCGGATCCGCTAACCAAAGGATTGAATAGAGAGTTGGTTGCAACAATGGCAAAGGGAATGGGACTAAAGCCCATGGAAGGCTAAGTGTTATAAAGGAAACCCAACCTAGCTGACTGGAGATCCCAAGATCTAGGTTCAAAGGGACAACCTAATTATAAGGATTTAGCGTAGTCATTGTGGGGGGATACCCCTAAACCCATTCCGTAATGAAACAATGACGCAAAGGAGAATTAAGGATAGCACAATGTGTGCTTTAATGATTCTTAAGTGAAGTAATTTATTACTGAAGACTTAAGTAAATCACCTATGTGAGAGTGAAGTGGGGCCGCTTCAAAAGAGAATTGTTTAGGGCTCAATTCTTAAAAACTCTTGCTGAACCAAGTTGATGTTCATGGCCAAAACGAACATAACTATGAGAACTGAACTAATGGAGCATGATTCCTGTGTGAAATATATGGTTCATTTACACTAAAAAGCGAGACAGTTCAAAGACATCATGTCTACTGGATTGCTAGTAAAGTAAGTGTATTTCACAAGAGAAGGTTCAACGGGTAACACCAACCTATCTTATGCAGGTTTCAGTCGTGGAACACTACTGTAGAGTCAAATCAAAACAATTTTTCCATTCATGTGGAGGATTGTTGGAAAAATGGCTATATTCATTGTAGAATGAATGAGAAAATTGTTCTCATAATGGCACTCTTGAAAGAATCCAGGATAATTTTCTATCATTCATTCATATATATTAATTATTGATACATGATTTTGGATAGGATTCCTTTGAGGTTATCTTATTGAGATACATGTATGTACATGAATGTGGTCCTTTGATAAACGTGAAGATAATTATCTGGAATTTAACACTTGTTGCCAATTTCTAACAGTCATCCTAGGCCAGCATCTATAAATATCTCTTTTGTTTCAAAAGAAAGGGCGCTCTCTCTCTTTTTCCTTCTTGCATCTGCATCTTTTATAGTGTTCCATATTGCTCTAGTTCGAGTTCGCTGGGGTGAAGAACGTTTGGTGCTGACATATTCACCTTTAATCCGTTGTATCCTGGGAGACAGACGCCTACTCAACCTCAAGCACTCTACCTAGAGGGGGCGAATCTGTTTTAAGGAAATTGTGTTCACAAGTCTCGGATTGTTATTATTGTTATTTTCGATTATTACTTTCTTTTTGGGTTGTATTTATTCTTCTCTTTTGTATCAGCCTATTTTATTATTTCACTAACAGGAAATTCATAGAAAATGATACCAAACTGAGGGGATCACAATATTCTTCATCAAAGACTGCTCCGTTGCGATTACTCCATAAGTTTCAGGCATTGACTAACAAAGTTATGTCTAGCGGAATGTTGTGTCCTCCAATGTTACAATCCTCGGTAGACTCAATGTGCTAATAACATTGGTGCTGCTGGATACAATCAAAAAATTTCTAAGATGATGTTGCGAAGATAAAAGAGATTGGCTAAGCCACGTTCTTCGATTATTCGATCAGTTCCTACTAAAGTTTCCAGTTCAGCTCTAGCTTTCTCCAACACCTCAGGATTATTGAGAAAACGGGACAATGCCCATTCCATTGTCAATGCTGAAGTGTCTGTCCCAGCGTTGAGCAGGGCCTACAATTAATAGCCAAAAGAGTAATCAATGTTTGTGACAATTAAATGGCAATTGCATTTCGAGATGTTTTTACTTAACCTAATTGGATATAATCATTTAAGGTAGCTATCCCAAGTTCTATTTAAAGCTAGTTGACTTTACGATATAAAAGAATTATTACAAATATTAGAAGCATATTAAGATGGAAACAATAATTATTTTTCACTTTGGGTTTAGTAACACTACTATGATTTTTCTTGTCCTCGAATACGAACAAAAAAAGTATTGAAAATTGTGTTGTTTTTCTAGTTAATTTTTTCTTCTTGTTTATTTACTTTTTTTGTCACTGGACCAGGTAGCGTGTGCACATTCTTTTTCACTGCAAATATTTAAAAACTCTTACGGAATCATGTGGTTAATTTTTTCTTCTTGTTTATTTACTTTTTTGTTTTTAACTCTTCTGCTGTAAGTGCTATTAGGCTAAGGAATCGTCTGGTTATACAATTTAAACATAAAAATTCCTAACTAACTATAAGAAAAATTGGTAAAGATTAAATGAAATTAAAAAAAATAGAGCACTAAATCACCATTATGATACCCTTGATAATTTCGTTAGTGTAGTACTCTGGCTGAGATTATTGCAAAGAAAGCAGATGATCAATCATCGTGTTACTATCTTTGTTATGACCACGATGTTCATCGATTAATCCCTCCAAGAAAGCATCCATTTTAGCAGTAATCCTAGCCAAGTTGTTCTCATAGTTCTGGTAATCTTTTTTTTTTTGTTTTTTTGTTTTTTTGGCAATCCCCATACACGGAGTGGGATGTCATCCCCTTATTTTATTAAAGGAAAGTGGAAGAACATAGTTTTGGTAATCTATCCGCCTTAACAACGGCAAAAAATCTCCCGGGTTTGATGCACCAGCATATTTGAATGCCTCTTCGATCAGGTCCCTAAACAGCTTTGCTTCATGGTGCTCTTCATCTTCATCTAGGCCAAAAATCGTTTACTACAAACCATCCTCATAATAATATTGAACGAAAGTTCAGATGATTTAGACTTCAATTCAACCCTGGCAAAATTCTGGAGAGATTTCTCAGACAATTTGATGAGCAAGCGCCTGATTTCGTCCTTCCTGATGGACATTTATCCTCCAAGAAATATATTAAAACATTTATCCTCCTACAAGGTTTATTAAAATATTCATATATCTTCTTATAATTCGTTAGTTCATTTGTGGTACTACTAAATTCATGTACTTAAAGTACTATATTCATGTACTTATATTAACTAGTAATAACTCGTGCAAATATTTTTTCAATATATAAAACCTTTAATATATTAAATTTCTATGCAAAACTTTGATTATTGGCATAATATAAACTAAGAACTATATAATGAGCAAACTTAAGTAATTGGTAATTGTATAAAATGTTTATTGTGTATAAAGTAATTAAAAGTTTATTGTATATTTTACAGTTATAAAAACTCTGAAGATTAAGTTGTTGGTATAATATTGACTAAGAAACCATATTATAAACAAAATAAACCAATTGCTAATTGTAGAAAATGTTTATTATATACAAAGTAATTAAAAGTTTATTAAACTCTGAAGATGGAAGATTGTCATATTTAAACTAAGTCATTGCATATTTTACTTTAATTGTGATAGTAAGAAGAGAAAATTTTCTGTATTGTGTCAAACTAGTGTACACAACAAAACTTGAGCAAAATACATACTAAAACATTGTGATTTGGATACAACAAATTTTTATCAATTTCAATAGTTCTATACATTTTTTGTTATATTTTTATAGTTATCGATAATTTTTTGAAGTTTTCTTAGCCAATATGACATAATATAGTGAATTTAATCATCAATTTAACCTTTTGTCTTTTCATTGACTGTTTATAACCTTTTGTCTTCTTATTAATCTTGATTTTCTTCTAATCCAATATGTATATAAAACATACTTAGTTTTAATTATCACACATAAAAATATAATAATTGGAAATAATTTTAACACATACAATAATTAGAGATGAAGAATATTATTGGTGAATATAGTTGTAAACGGGCAGTTTTTAATTTTAATTACCAACATTTTTTTAGATGTAATTTATTGAAACTTTTCATTTTTTTTATTAGTGTCATAATTGAAATGCAATAACTTTAATTAAAAGACATAAGGGTAATTTAGGCATAACAAAAATTAAGATTAAAATATGCTTACGCTTATACTCTCTATTGTCAAGGCTCATTATACTTTTTATATAGTAATAATGATAATGATATTAGTGCATATACTTTTGGTCTTATAACACCAATAAATAGAAGACTACAAGCCTCATTTGTAACCATCGGAAATACAAGTGAATGACAGATATATAGTCCTACTATTTCTTTGTCTCTATTTTAATCTCTTTATTCTTCACTCTTCTTAGTTTGTCTTATTAGTTTTACAACGTAAATCTATTTTTAACTCATCTAAGTTGTGAAGTTTGACCCCCTGGTCATCAAAAAAAAAAAAAAAAAAAATTAGGCACTTGATGCATCTTCTTGAACAATCTTGCTAATGATGGTGCGAGCTTTGCACATAGCTTCCAATGGCTCAGCTTTGGGCATAGTCAATCCTTTCCCTTCAGACAAATCAATTCTGTTATCGCCAATTCTTTTCCATACAAAACTCTGAATCAAAGATCCCAATGCAACACCAATCACCCGCTGTGCAAGGCCAGCACCAGGACAAGATCGCCTTCCCATCCCAAAGGGCAACAGTTTTGAGGGTGCAATTTCAACTCCTTCAAATCTTTCGGGATTAAAGCTCTCAGGATCATCCCAAATATTTGGGTCCCTGTGAATTGCCCAGGCATTGACAAGCAGCATCGTGCCTTGTGGAATGTTGTATCCTCCAATGTTACAATCCTGGGACGACTCATGTGGTACTAACATTGGTCCTGCTGGACACAATCGAAAAGTTTCTAAGATGATGTTGTGAAGGTAAGGAAGATTGGCCAAGTCATGTTCTTCAGTTAATCGATCAGTTCCTACTTGAGTTTCCAGCTCAGCTCTAGCTTTCTCCAACAACTCAGGATTATTGAGCAAATGGGACAAGGCCCATTCCATTGTCACTGCTGAAGTGTCTGTCCCAGCGTTGAGCAGCGCCTACAATTAATAGCCAAAAGAGTAATCAATGTTTGTGACTAATTAAATGGCAATTTTAATTATTTCGAGATGTTTATATTAAACCTAAATCGATGCATAAGGTAGCTCTCCCATGTTCTAGTTATAATTATTTGAATTTTTGATATAAAAGCATTATTACAAAAATTAATTAGAGGTATGCTTATGACAAATTTTCCCTCATAATACCAAATACAAAAATGACAACAATTAATTTTTTTTTTCATTTTCGGTATATTAACACTACTACGATTTTTTTTTGTTCTCAAGAAGGAAAAAAAGATACTGAAAATTTTATTCGTTTTTTAGTTGATTTCTTCTTATTGTTGTTTATGTACTTTTCTTGGCGGTGGACCAGGGAGAGGGAGAGTGCACCTTCTTTTCAACTGTTCATATTTGAAAAATTCTCTACGATCGATCCCCCTCTTTTTTTTTTTAACAATTTGAACCCTCCCGCTCTAAGTGCGATTAGGCTAAGGAATATTTTGGTATACATATTCAAACATAAAATGCACTAAGTAATTATAAGAAAAATAGATTTACCAGTATGATGCCCTTAATAATTTCGTTGGTGTAGTACTCTGGCTGGGATTCTTGAAAAGAAAGCAGATGATCAATCATCGTATTTGCATCTTTGTTATGACCACGATGCTCATCTATTAATCCCTCCAAGAAAGCATCTACTTTAGCAGTAATTTTAGCCAAGTTCTTCTCATAGTTCTGGTGATCTATCCACCTTAAGAATGGCAAAAAATCTCCAGGGTTTGATGCACCAGCACGTTTGAGAACCTCTTTGATCAGGTCCCTAAACAGCTTTGCTTCATGGTTTTCTTCATCTTCATCTATGCCAAAATATCGTTTACCAGAAACCATCCTCATAATAATATTGAACGAGAGCTCAGATAATTTAGACTTCAATTCAACCTTGGCAAAATTCTGGAGTGAGTTTTCAGACAGTTTGATAAGCAAGCGCCTGATTTCGTCTTTCCTAATGGACAAGAACATGTTCAAACGACTGGTGGAGAATATTTCCATGGCACACAACCGCCGAAGATTCCTCAGATGATCACCGTATGGTGAGCTCCCTATGCCGGTGTGATTGTAGCCCAAGTATTTGCCTATGAGGAATTGAGGGCGGTTGGCGAGCACGATATCATTCTTGGTGAAGCATTCCTCCACCAGTGATGGTGAAGACACCACCACTACAAGGCGGTTGCCGAATTTGAGAGAAATTATGGGACCATATTTTAGAGAAAGGCTGTGGAAAGTTCTGTAGAGTGGTGGTTTTAGGAGATGGAGATGTCCTATGATGGGAAATGTCGGTGTCGGACTTGGTGGGAGGTTTGGCACAGACCTCTTGTATAAAAGCTTGAACCCGAGAAAAAAAAAGAATATAGGCAAGAACAACGTAGTATAGCCAAAGAGCTTCCATGCTAGCGCAAACGGTCTTAGAATAATGAAATTTGATTCGAAGATCTGTATCATAAGTAATGGGATTGTAGATTTATATTTATATATATTGACCCTTGGATGCTGAAATGGTGAAAAATTAGAGAAAGTAAGGGTCTGTTTGGTTGGAAGGAAAATATTTTCCTTGGGAAAATATTTTCCGTGGAAGTAATTTTCCATGAAAATCATTTCCCTTTCATCATTTTCAGGTGTTTGGTTAGTTTATTGAAAATATTTTCTTACTTCATTTTTCTGGTGTTTGTTTAACTTTTGAAATATTTTCACTTTTATCTCTATCTTTACTTTCTACACATTATAACTGCATACTTCTTCCCATGCAAAATAAGAAAATTTATCTCATTGTTTAACTTTAAAAAATCTTGGAGAAATGTATATATGAATAAAAAATATCTCCTTAAGCAATAAACAAATTGCTGGCCATTTAGTGTCAAATGTCAATCACATGCAATGCTTATTGTGACATATATCTTGCACTCTCACTACTGAAAGTTTCTCTAGAAAAGAATGTCCCTATTATACATAATTAATTACTAGCGTATGATGAGCAGGATGAGATTTCTTTTTTATTTTGAATATACTAGGGGGAGGGATGGGTTGGGTGGTACGGGGGAGGGAGTGTAAGGAAGAGGTTTTGGATTCGAGTCCTCCTGTTTACACTAAAAAAAAAAAAACATATTACAAGATATTTTCAGTAAGTTTGGAACATACTACAGGCGGGGTGCATGCATTTCGGAAAACAAATTCGGTAAGTTTGGAAGGGAAGTTGTTTTCCATAAGATGAGTGAAAATATTTTACATAGGAAAATGTTTTCAGAAACTTTTGTGCAATCAAACACGGGAAATTAGGAAAATATTTTTCTGGAAAACATTTTCACCCGAAACAAACGGACCCTAAAAGAAAAGTTTTCATGTTTGGAGACTATTCAAAGCCGTATGAATTTTCACTTTAAATGATGTGAACAATAGTTTTTGACTTTCAAGTCAACATTATTATCAGTCACATGTTGTTGATTTGTCCACAAAATCGAAGTTGAGACGTGATCATTTCAACCATATGGCTAATCATTCCTCCTGCATCCTGTATTTTCAAATCGAAGTTGGACTGTGATTTGTGAATCCCACACCACACGTAAAGCAGATTGAAAAAGTAGGAACAATGCGTGATAAATTTTGTTGCAAAGTTAGATTAGTCTTCTAATTTAGTGAGCAATTGGTCTAACTTATTGAATCCTCTGGTCTGGTGGCCATGACCTGAAAATGTCCAGAATCACGACCCAAGAAAGTCACCTGCACCCACGAGAACCCAAACACGGAACCACATGACATATGTATCCAGAAATTGTTGCGATGCAACACACCGTAGACGCAAATTGAAAATCGAGGGACCGCATTGAGCCCCAACTAATAATAATATTAGGTCAAGCAGCGTCGGACCTCTTTTGAGGAGTAGTTCTCCTAATGTTGTTATTTTCTCTATTGGAAAAAATTCATTTTTTGTCCTTAAACTTTTAGTTAGGGACACATTTCGTTCTCAAACTTCTAAACGCATCACGTTTAGTACATGAATTAATTATTTTGGACCATATTTTGTCCAAAAACGGTAAAGTGTTCATTTTGGATAGGGAAGACTGACGTGGTCGTTAATTTTGACTGAGAAATTATTTTTACTTAACGGTCACGTGTTTGGCACGTGACTTTTTCTATCCAAATCAAGCAATTTACCGTTTTTGGCCTAAATATGACAAAAAATAATTAATTCATGTACTAAATAAAGTGCATCTAAAAGTTTGGGGATGAAATGTGTCTCTATCTCAAAATTTAGGGACGAAAAGTGAATTTTTTTCCTTTCTCTATTCACAAGACTCGAACTAAAAACCTCACTTGAGGGACATTAAGATCTTTACTACTTGACCCAATAGACGTGGTTCCTTCAAAATCTGTAATGTAGGGAAGATCATCCGGAAAGGAAAACACTGGTACTTTCTATGTAATGGCCTACTCATATTGACAATTTAACTCAATGAACACTAATTATATTTTAAATGGACCCTTAACACATGCTGAATATTTGATTTTCACAATTGAACCGAACGTACAACTAACCCGGCTGCTTAAAACTGCTACAGATGCTGTCTTGAAGGGTGACCAAAGAAAAAGTTCTTGTGAACCACAAGTCATGAAAGTGTACCAAGCCTACATATTTGTCCTTCAGTATTTCTTGCTAAATCTTGTCCAGGAAATCCTCGCATGCTTTAGAATTCTATTGTATTTGTACGCCCGTGAGTCCGTGACTGACTCCATATACCCACTTTTTTCCTTTTTCTTTTGAACTTTTCCTAGTCAAATGCATTATTTTGTTGAAGATTACAGCTTAAAAGCATTTTGTGCTTTTTTCTACTTTTTCAATTTAGCATGTGAATTAAATTTACATCTCCTTTCGTATTGCATTCAAATTGCCTAGACATTTTGATTTATCAATCATTAACATTTCAGAATTTGTAAGGGTATGTACATACACACACACACACACACACATATATATATATATATACTAGGCATGGTGCCCAGCGGATTCCGCGGGCTGTCCATTATTGACTATCTTAGGGTAATATAAGATTTATTTATTAATATAGACTTATAGTATTTTGTATGATAATGGAGTTGGAATAGTAGATAGAAGAGTGATATATTGGATTGATTTATATATAAATAGATATAGTAAAATTGATGTGATTTGTATTGTTTTTTTTAAAATTGATGTGATTTGAAAATTTGATGGGTAATATTGGTTTCAGAAAATTTTATTTTTTGATTTTAATTTAGTGATAAGTAAATATTATTTAAATTAATGGAATATATATTATTTTTTAAAGTTGATAGGATGAAAAATTAGGTGGAGAACTACATTAAGAGTGTTATAATTTGTTGTACTTTGGGCATTGGTACTTTATGTATTTTAGGATGATAGATGATATTTTCATAATTTGGATAGCTAGGATGAGAGTGTGCATTGTTGCAGTGGAAAAGTCTATGGAAAGGATATGAAAGAATGAGAAGTTTGTTAAAAATTAAATGGATAATAGATTTTTTTTTGGCAAATTTTGATATAGTTTTGGTGTTGTGTGATGAGATAAATTAATAATTTGGAATAATTTGATATCATAGCTTGGTAAAATATGTGTTTATTAATTATGTTTTTTTTTCGATAAGTAAAGATGATATTGATTTAGTTATGAATGAATGTGATTGAAATAGATGGAAGTTGTATTTTTTTTAATTAATAGAATCTGAATAAGTAAAGAATAATATTAATTTTGAGAGCTAGGAGATTTTATATTAATAGTTTATTGCTAAATGGATATTATTGAAAGTAAGGTGATGCGTATAAATTTTTTTTTATAAGAAATAGAAATGATTGCACATGAAAATTATAGAGTTTAATCACTGTAATTTGTAGTAGAATTTTTAAATATTTATTGTTTGACGTTTATGTGACTTATTTTAGGTTACTCAAAGTTGTAGTGAATTTTGTATTAATATATAGATATAGGTATACAATATATTTTGTAATATGTATGTGTATATATATATATATGCATGTGTGTGTGTTTAGTATTTTATTTTACGTGATATAGTGGTTTAATTTTTTTTAGTGTTTATATTTTTTGTGGTTTTGTTTGTTTGTTATATTTTTATTATATATTTATTTATATATGTGTATATATATGTATATTCAATATTTTATTTGAGCTTGTATGATTGTTTAATATTGTTTTAGCGTATCTATCTTTTCTAGTTTTGTGTTTGTTATATTTGCGGCATTCCTATTTGTCTTGTGATTCATGTGTCAATATGATTTTTTTTGAGTTGCATCATGTATATTTTTGTCTATATATATATATATATATATATATATATATATATATATATATATAGGGGTGTGGTTTTAAGTATTTGTATGTAAATTTCTAGTAGTTTGGTTATCTTTATTATAGTTTTAGAGAAAAGTTTGTCTTTTTTATTTTGGTTTTAAGTGGTATATTTTCTAATTTTTTAATTTTTGAAATATTATCGAAGTAACATTTTTGAAATTTACAAAAATTGTCCTATATTTTTAAAAACAATTAGTCGTATTAATGCAAGCTAACATGAAGTGCACAATTGATTTATACTTATAATCAATATTTCTGTAGATATATATATTTTGCAAAAAATGAATATATATATATATATATATATAAGGGCACACAATTACTTATCACTTTGTATTAACCGCATTTATGTTATGTTACTCAATCTTAAAATGCAAAACCTTTAAATTAATAATTCAGTAGTTAACAAATATTATGGAAGTTACATTTTTTAAATAGAGGAAAATTATCCTATATTTTTAAAAACCATTGGTCGTATTAATGGAAGCTAATACAATGTGGCACAATTGATTTATATTTATTAGATACACACAAAATTTCTATCGATATATATATTTTCTAGAAAATCATTATTTTTGTCGACATATATATTTTGGAGAAAATGAATATATATATATAAATATATATATATATATATATATAAAGGCACACAAATAGGATGCAAGAATATATATAGATTTGTATAGCCCAAAAAATTCGCGTCTACATTAAGAATGTAAGGTAGCGACTGCACAGCTGCAACAAACAAAAGCAAAGAAACAATAATTAAGAGAGAGTATCATCGAAGCAACATCTTTGAAATAGAGGGAAACTATCCTATATTTTTTAAAGCAAGCATATAATTAATCGTCATTTTTAAGGAGAATAAAAGTGATGTCCTAAAGAAATACTGTCAAATTAACATTTTTGAAATAGAGGGAAATTATCCTACATTTTTCAAAACAGACATGTAATTAATCACCGGTTTTATAGAGAAGCATCCATTTTTATTCGTTTATAGACAAGTATCTAATTAACTATCACTTTGTATTCACTACATCTATGTTACATCACTCAATCTTAAAATGTAAAAGCTTTAAGCTAATAATTAAATAATTAACAAATATTGTTGAAGTAGCACTTTTATATCAATGTAAGCAAATACAAAGTGACACAATTGATTTATATTTATTAGACACAGAGGAAATTTTCGTCCATATATTTATCTTGCTTAGAAAATCATTTATCGATATATAAATTTTGCAAAAAATTAATATGTATAAAAATGGACACAACTAATATATCTAGATTTGTATAGCGAAAAATTTGCGCGTTCATCAGGGAATTGAAGGTAGCAGCTGCGGGCCTAACAAACAAAAGCAAAGAAACAATAATAAAGGGATATGACAGGCTAAAGACCACAAAGTGCAAATTTGAGATATTAATTACAAAGAAACCAGGACAAAAGGGCATAATCAGAATATAAGGTGACAAAATCCAAGATGAGGACAGCAGACAATCAACTCCTCAGCTGGCTCAAAGGACACAAAAGTCCAAAATCAGCCACACAATTGCATTGAAACCAGGACAATTAACTATAGATGGAGCTTTGCAGCTTTATGTGGTTTAAGAATGATAAGATAACACTTATTATATGTTAATACGAAGCGGTATAATTGATTTATATTTATTAGATATGTATAGAATTTTTGTTCATTTATATATATTACATACACATAGGATTTTCATTGATTTGCATGTTAATACAAAGTAGTACAATTGATTTATATTGATTAGATACACATAGAATTTTTATTGATTTGTATATATCACATTGATTGATCTATAAGGAAAATTTAAATTATGATTATTTGATATGAATAACACTTATTATATGTTAATATGAAGCGGTACAATTGATATATATTTATTAGATACACATAGAATTTGTTCATTTGTATATATTACATACACATAGGATTTTCATTGATTTGCATGTTAATACAAAGTAGTACAATTGATTATATTGATTAGATACACATAGAACTTTCATTAATTTGTATATATTAGATACACACAGAATTTTCACTGATTTGTATATTTTTTAAAAAATTTTAGAAAATCAATATTTTGGTCAATATACACATTTTGGAGAGAGCTAATAAATATAAAAGGCTACGGAAAATTATAAACATAAAAACGCAGACAAAGAAAGTGAACTGAAGATAGCAACTGCAGCAGTCAAAGATACAAGAAACAAAAGGACAAAATTGACTGCAAAATTACAAAGAAACCAGGACAAGGGCACAATCGGAAGAAGGGAACCAAAGCAGAAATGAGGAAAAGCGCAGCAGGAACCAAAGCCCCTGCATGGAGGAGGGAGCCTGCCAAAAGACCAAAAAGGACGAAATGAGCAGCAAAATCACAGCGAAACCGGCACAATCAACTGTAGTTGAAGCTTCCGAGCTTTATGTAGTTTATAGATAGATATATATATATATAATTCTCCAAATCTCGGATTTCATGCAAAACTTTTAGAGATTCTGTCATTATACTTCTACAAAATTATGATGTGTCCTAAATGTAGATTATCATCAAATAAAGAAACTAGGCGGGTCCAATCATCCAACCCGTGCATGGATTATCTCGAGTTAGTACAAGTTATTTGTTTAGTGCACACACTTTGATGAACTAATCCCATCTCGGTATCACAACTTTTTTTCCCCCAGTAGATTCGAGCCTCACATATTTTATTGCGAGTAGACAGCACCATTACTCTGTACCAACCAATCATGAAGAATAAATAAAAGGATAATTTCATAAACTTCCCTTGAGATTTTTGACAATTTCATTCGCCTCCCCTAAAGTTTATAAAATATCACTAACGTCCCCTAATTAATAGCATTGTGGGTCCAATTGCTTGCATCACATTAGAAAAAAATTTACTCATATACCATAAGATATTATGTCTTATCGAAAATTAATATATGATAATTAGGTAATTAGGTTACTAATTAATTGTTAGTAACTAATTAATGAAAACAGCTGTTGAAAATTTTTTTAATAATGAATAATAACCTGTAGTTACAAAATAGTATCAATTGATGCACCAAATATTTGTTCACCCTCAGAAATTAATGCACCAAACAACAATTTGTCTAGATTTTTTTAACTCTAAAAATCTTTACAAATGCCTTGCAATTACAATTGCAATAAATTCCATGATTTCTCCTTGTAGGTTGACAAGACCATAGTTTCTACACCTATACTTCACCTTCAACTTGCAAAACTTACACAAAATCAGTAGTCCCCCTCCTCCCCCCCCCCTTCCCTCCTCAAAATTTGCTTCTTCAAGTGAAAATGAGACCCATCTTAATGCTTCTTGTTGCTTTTACACGCAAAATGGCAAAGAGCTGAAAAAAAAAAGCCGTTGTAATCCAATGTACTTGCTATTGATTCAACTATGTAGAGAAAGTCAATTGCTAGTTATTTTTTGTTTGCTATTTGCATTTACCTTCCCTCATTTTTATTAATATGTTTTTCATTCCTTTACAATATAACTTGTACACAAGCATAAAGCCCATTTATGGAATAAAAGTTTGCCTCTCCCCAAAAAGTACTTTTTTAATGGTATTTTTTCTTATTTGGACTGATTTTTGGTTTATCAAAACCTTAATCTCAAGGGAGGTTAGTGTAATTTAAAAAAACCTTAACCTCAGGGGAGGTCAGTGTAATTTTACAAACTTTAAGGGAGGTCAATGAAATTGGTGGAAACACCCTAGGGGAGGTTTCGGAAATTATCCCATAAATAAAAGAATATAACCTTTTTGCTGTGTATTCGACCTTTATATGGTGATGGAATAGGTAGGTTCTAGTTAAAAGGACCACATAGATCATTGGTCTCCTGGAGATAGAACAGCCATTCTACAAAGCAAAGTACAAACTAGAAAGTAGGAAAAAGTGGGCGAGTGGTCACAAGAATCAGGCGGGCTTTTCTTTTGAAGTAAATGGTCACAGACCCACTTCCCCAATGCCATGCTAACTGCTTTCAACTGCTCTATATCTATCTATTCCGCCTTGAGTTTCATCACTCTTTCCATTCCACAACTTGAAACTACATCAAATTCAAGGCATAACTGCAAAGGAAGGAAACACTCTCAAGCAAATGATGAAGTTGGGAAGAAAGAATACTTCATTTACTTCATCCCATTCTTCTTTAATCACCCATGTCTTCCCAATTTCTTGGCTCTCAAAGTTTAAGCAAAAGAAGGGCAGGTCTGATGACCCCATATCAGCGAAAGCAAAGGAGGGAAGGCAACTAGAATTGTCATCCCCAAGTTCTTTATCATTTGTTCGCTGTGGAGAGGGTCGGTTCTATAATCGAGATGATGACTCTTACTGGAGGCTTTCATTTGGGGAGGAAGCAGAGAAGCATACAGTTGGTCTAAATTCTGAGTGGTACAATCCAGAGGATGACGAACTTGGAGGCCCTGCAGATTCTAAATCAGAAGTCATGGGAATGGCCGGAAGAGAAGTTACTTGGAAATTCAATGACATGGTCTCTGCCCTAAGAAACTCAGGTGTTTTGCAAGAGAAGGCAGGCATTCCACTGCAAAATGATCCACTCAGAAGGAAAAAGATCGCTGAGGAAATAGAGGTGAAAACACCACAACAAAAAGCTGCAAAACCTCACAAATTAAGAAAACCAGAGCGAAGGAAGTTAAAAGAGAAAAATGCAGATAGAGGATCTAAGGAAGAAGAGGCGATAATGACCAAATCAGCTGAGAAGATTATATTTGAAGTATACCCAGAAAGGATTCCTTATACTGGAGAAGACTTCGGGGAGTCAAGAGCCCCAAATTCTGTGAAGCAGCCCAGCTTTTCTTTCTCGAACTCCAATCTAGGAACAATTGAAGAGGACTGCATGTTGGAAGCTAAGAATTTGGAGGAATGTATTGCCCTTTCTGAAAAAGAACATGAAGAAATTAGTTTGCAGTGGAAAAACTTGAAGGACATAAAACCAAAAGAAATGAAGTCAAAATTAGAGCAGCAGAGGAGGTCAGTGTACTTCAACAGAGATTGCCAGAGTAAAAGAAGGAAATCAACCAGCAGAATCAAATCTTACTCTCCCAGAAATACTGCCAAGATTGAGTGCAAAATCAAGGCTCTAGAGGATATCAAGAAAGCTAAGAGGGTGAAAAAGAAGACAAAGGAGAAAGCAAAAGGAGACACAACAGCCTTTGATAGCTATGCCGTTGTAAAGAATTCATATAATCCACAAAATGACTTCAGGGAATCTATGATTGAGATGATCATAGAGAAAGGCATTGAGAAGCCAGAAGAGCTCGAAGAACTCTTGGCTTGTTATCTGACATTAAATTATGATGAATACCATGACCTAATTGTCAAAGTCTTCAGGCAGGTATGGTCTGAACTGAATGAGCTGTATCTTGCTGCTGTCTTACAGAATGAGCGCTCAAGAGTTGATTATCAATTCCTTGTGTAGTGTTTAGGAATAAAAGAAAAGGTAAAAATATCTAGCAATGAACTTGTGATTTTCATTGAACCGCACTTTAGATTTAAATTTTGAGAGCACTTGTACAATGAAATATGGCAAGATGTGCTTTTGAATCTGTTGTACACCAAAGAAATCCCAGATAAATTTGTTTCAAAGTGATTTTTGAAGTATGTTTAGTCAGACATCAATTGTACTTAGAAGATTGCTATGCTTCAAAGTCAGAAAATACTTTGAAGAGATCGACATCAATTATTGAAAGGAGCTTTCACACTTCTCGTATCTATTTTATCTTGTAACCAACAGATGCAGCCAAGTTTTAGAAAAAAAAAATGACATCAAACATGCACAGAAAAGAATATAAAGTTGACATCTTAACTATTAAAACATAATTGAAAATAGAGAATGGACTGCTTCTATTATGTTCAATAAAAAATGTGCTGCTTAAAATGTCTGTACAAAATTTTGTCCATGTTGGTTCCTTAGAATTTCTGTGCATTAATTGTACAGGGATGCAGAAACTATATTTAGCAAAGGACATACCAGATATGATATTGATGTAGACTGTAGCCCAAGAACGGTTACACATTGGATGAAGCTTGACCTTGCCAAACAATCTTTCAAATCTCAGTTTATGGTTATCATTTACCTTTCACGTGAATCGTCATTTTGATATACTTCATAAAGCATTATGCATCTGATTTCTATTTTAAGAGAATTCAACCAAGCTTCACAATACTAGGCCTCACACTTGTCTTCACCTGTAATACCCACTAGATTGCCACTTGTACTACAATTAATTATACATTCACCATCTGAGACTGTCCAAGGCCTCAATATTCTGAACTTCTTGGAACAACATGTAATTAACCGTTTGGAGCAACAGCACATGTATGGCAAAATTGCACCCTTTTCCAGCTATCAAATCATTCCTTCACCAGCTAAAAATTCATGAACAACTCCATTAACTTCAATCACACTGCCACCGGGTTTCTTACTGACTAGTTTTTCCCTCATCTTCCTTCTGATATCCACAACATCACTCCATCGTCCCTTGGAGGCATGAATATTTGACAACTGAACATAACCGGCATTGTCTTGAGGATTCAACTCTAAAAGTTTCCCAGCAATATGTTCTGCCAGCTCGACATTACCATGATTTCTGCAAGCACTCAGAAGAGATTCCCAAATAATAAGCACATCTTTCTGTGGCATTTTCTCCACAAGTTCTTCTGCCTCCTTTAACAACCCAAATCGACCAAGTAAATCCACCAGACAACCATAATGCTCAATTTTAGGTTTAATTCCATAAATAGAAAACATGTTATCAAAGATCTCATGACTCTCAAATAACAAACCTGCACGACTGCAGGCTGATAAGAGACTTACAAAAGTAACGTCATTAGGTTTGAAACCATTTTCAACCATTTCAGAAAATACCTTTAATGCCTGTTCTCCAAAACCATGGACGCTGAAACCTGTAATCATCGCATTCCAAGTACTAACATCCTTCCTTGATGCACTGTCAAACACTTCAACAGCCTTCTCAATACACCCACATTTGGAATACATATCCACAAGAGCAGTAGCTAGAAAACCATTGGCCTCTATCCCATTTCGATCCATGTAAGCACGAACCCACTTGCCCTGTTCCAAAGCTCCAATACCAGCACAAGCAGACAGTAAAGTCACCAGTGTATGATTATCAGGTTTCACTCTTGCTCTCTGCATATCATCAAAAAGCTCCAAGACTTCATTATACCTACCAGAATTAGCATATCCGGTGATCAACGCATTCCAAGAAACAACATCTTTCACCGACATTTCATCAAAAACCCTCCATGCCTCATCAAGAAGTCCAGAATTCGCATACCCTGAAAGCATAAAATTCCAAGACTCCAAATTCTTCACAGGCATCTCACTGAAAAAGTCAAATGCCAAGTCCACTAACCCCATTTCTACATAAACACTCAACACAGCATTCCACGAAACAACATCCCTATTAGGCATTCTATCAAGCATATGGCGTGCAGCTTCAAAGCACCCACATTTTGCATACATATGGAGCAGAGTATTGCATATATAAACATCCCATGAAAGCCCATTTTTTATCACACACCCATGAATTTGTTTCCCATGTTTAACACGGCAAAGACTAGCACAAGCTTTGAGAACAAATGTATAAGTGTACTTGTCTGGAAGCAAATCTTGATCATCACAAAGCAACTTAAGGAACAAAAACAGGGCCACATTCGGAGTAGGACTAGTAGCATAACCACGTATCAGAGTGTTGTACATATATGTGTTTGGTTGGGGAGTTTGGGTAAATATAGTGTGGGCATACGAGAGGCTGTCAATAGAGGAGCTGGCTGCAGCCGTCATTAGGCGGCTGGCGGCAAAGGGTTGTTGGAAAAGACCAGTTTTGAGCATATAAGCATGAGCTTGATGGAGCTCTGAAATGGAAGTGGCCATTTCCATGAAAGAGATGATTGGTGGCGGTGGTGGTGGACAAAAGCTTGTAAAGATTGCAGACATCTTTTGTTTGTTTCTTGCTGAGTTGAAAGAAAAGAGGTGCCAGTTATGATCAATTACTCACATTTGAATGCAATTACAAGGTATACCCCAGATTCAGAACTAATCCGTGGTAGGCTTTTGCAAATACAACATAAAAGACAGCATAATATAGCTACCGGAAAACATGGTATACCGTATACGGGTAAATTGCCGTCGAAAAGCTCAAATTTTTCGAGCATTAATCAATTTTAATTTATCAAAGAAACCATGCATTTAATTCCAATGAACCCCTCGACAAATACTCTTTTCTCACATTGCCCCCCTGAAGGGGGAATTGCACCAATGCACCCCTATAATAGTACGATATTTCCAATTAGGTGCAATCAGGTCGGAAAGCCCAATTTATAACGGATTTATTCATGTACCTCACATGATTGTGTAAAGTGAGCAAACTATCCAATAGGGTTGGCAATTGAGGCACCCCCACAGGAGGGAATTCTTTCCTCGTTAAAAAATGGGACATGAGCAAGGGAGGATATCCCCGCCCTGTCACTCGTTTGAAATATTATATATATATACACACACATAAATACATATGTATATATATATGTAATTTAATTAGTTGCAAACTTATAATAATAATATTATTAGTTATATATTAGTATATGTAATATTATTAATTATACTAATAATTATATATGTCTATTAATAAAAATTATTAATTAATTATATTAAATTTACTAATACATTTATGTTAAATTCCTAATTATACTTATCAAAATAACACTTTTTTCTTAAAAAAACACAATAATGACTTAGTGGTTGTATTTAACTCAAAAATAAAATTTTGACTATTTTAGTTGTATTTGTCTCGTCATGTTAGATTTTATTCAAATAGCTTTTATTTGATTATTATGGATTTCAATTGTAAAATTACAATGAATAATGACTTGGTGATATGTTGATATTTAAGTATTTGATTTTTTGCTAAAATTTGACTAAAATGAGATTATAGGACAAATTTTTATTAACCCTCGTAGAGACATCCATAAGGGAAGTGAGGAGAGGCGGGACGAGGGGGATTAGTGGGTAGGGGGGGTCCGCCACCCCACCTCCACCACGTTGTCATTCCTAACTATCTTCATGAAATATTCTATTTGTGAAGTATTCAGAAATCACTCTTTAAACTTGATTATACTTTTCATATCATGTTAAAAGCATAGCGATATTTCTAGCATTTCAACCCGTATTTAGAAGTTCTAAAACTAATTGTGTTTTCTTCTGTGAATTATATAACCTATTTTTGGCACAAGTTTTGTCCTTTACTCGTGTAGTGTTAAGTTCTTAAAATCTTCACATATTTAATTTGTTCATGAATTTTGTCAATTTTTTTTTCAGTAGATTGCTAAAGAAATGGTCACTAGCTCTTAAGCGATCACCAAACTCGACATGCCACAAGAGTGGTTGCCTGAGGGAATAGTCCACGCTGATTTGAAGAGCTGTGATTAATTGTATGCACAATTTCCCATTAAAAAATGTAAAATTTGATTCTCTTTTCTGCACTTACACATTGTCATAAATATTTATACAAGTGAATATAAATTCATGACACGCGTACAAATAAAAAATTTCCAATATATATAAAAAAGATGCGTTGTGTATCTAAATCCGCTCGTATAAAAACTTGTTTTACACTAACGATATATAGCAAACATCAATAGATTTTACTGACATAAAAGAAAATCAATAGATTTTCGTTTACAACATCTTGATATATAGTTGTCCCCAGGGACGGAGCCAGAAATTTATTTTTGGGGGGGCTGAAGTGTATTAAAATTTTTTTTTGTGACGAAATAAATATATTTAACAAGTAAAATTTAGAATCAATAATTATAAAAATAATAAAAACATATAATTATACATACCCAAAAATTTGTTATTGATTAACACTTGAAGTATTGGTAGTTGTTGCACTCGAATAACGAAGAGGAGGCAATTGCATTCTGCGAGTCTTCATCCGTTGAGATGGGGGTTTAGATCATTAAAAAAAAAAGTGTTAAAAACCGTGACTACTTCCGAATAACACGGACATAAGCTAATGATCCATTTGCTCCAAGTCTCGGCCTCACAGACTTCCTTTTGCGATCCATTTGCAAATGGTGCAAGCATTTCACTCCACCGTGAAGCTTATAATGCGTCTGATTTCCAGAAAATTGAGGTAGGAGATCGAATTGTTTCAGGTTGTTTGACTTACTCTTTTTTTTTTTTGTATAAGACTTTCCAGCAAAAATCAACGGTTTCTTGATCCTCTATTGTATGTATCCCAGCAATTGTTCGATGTCAGCTAGGGACAACAAACAATTACTCGAACCAGCCTTTTTAAAGGCCACGTTGCGAAATTCAGCTCACTTGGAACATTCATTTACAAATTACGTAATCGAGCGTTTCGCTCTAAGAACGCATCTTCCTAGTCGCTAGGGCTTAGGACAGTTTGGGATGAGAATTCACGAGTGGGAAAATCAATGAAAAGGAAATAAAAACAAAGACACGAGTGCAGCAGCATAAGAACATCAAAAAGAAGTGAAAGAAAGGTTTCGTCTAGTTTTGAGCTTTACACATGAACCCAGAATATTTAGTTAAAAACATGTCCACGTCCTCTAACATTCTAGTGCGGAAACTACTAATTAGTGAACAGTAAGAAAACAATAGTCAAAAAAAAAAAAACAGCGCCTGCATAATTTCACTGGAGTATTGCAGAACAGTCAGAAACTTAGGGGGTTTTCCGGCGGCTTGGGGGGGGGCTTAAGCCCCCACCAGCCCCCCCTTAAATCCGTGGCTGGTTGTCCCGCAAGTATATACGTGCTCTTATCTATCATTTCGTACAATTGTATATAACAATCGTTGCAACCTCTATTCAAGGATGCTTTTCCTTTATCGTTGCCGATGATAGGTGAAGAGGTGATTTTTGACTTGACAAGGTGGCTTGGAGATCAAAAAGTCTTCCGAGCCGAGGAGGTCACCACAATAGAATCACCTGTTCAAATTATATGAAGAGGGGAGAAATCACCCGGTATAGTTCCGATGCTTAAGTTAGTAAATATTCAAGTAATGTGGGAAGATGAATATTAGTTTTTTTATTAGAGATTTTGCATCCCCTTTCTCAGTGGGAGCTCCAGCTATTTATACGGGACAATCGGGAGAGAAAGAGAGAAGCTGCGGGTGCAGGTCTCTATAAATTTGATGTAGACAGCGTATCATATTGATTTGATCGGACTCTACAAGAGGTAGTGTGTCAGAGCAGCTGCCAGTCATACGTCAGCATGTGTTAGAGGTCACATCTAATACTTTTCCAGTTGTCCGCCCTTTTAGGCATTACTTCGGCGGTGTGAGCTATAGCTCTGACTGAGGTGAGAACAAGAGGTGAATTCACCCCGATCGCCTAAGTGTACAGGATGTCCGAGATGGAACTATCAGGGGTTTAACCCGTGGGATGTGTGGGCTCGGCCTTCGGGATACCCGAGCCGATTTGACCATCCTCAATAGGAATTTGGGTTCACAATGTCCTCTATTGCTCAAGTTACAGAGAATTTAGATATTGTTTAATATATATTTTTAATTTAATGTTTGAAAAGAGAACTTAGAGAAATCTTGATATTTAGTCTATGATTTCTTGACCTCTCAAATGGAAAACACAAACAATTAGGGCCAGTTATACTCTGCAATTTTTTTTTCACTCAATTGGCATCTTAAATTAATTAACCTTATTCTCGGAAGAGCGACTGCACTTGCTTAAATAGAGAGGGGCACTTGAACCATGCATATTCGACTATTCGTATTCTTCCCTAACTACCATGTATCCATTTATTTATAAGTTGCAACGTGTAGAGCAAATTAAAATCCAAAGAAAATATAGGTTGAAAATAATGTGGAGTCTACCTGATTTTATTTTAATTCATATCTGACAAAGAAAAATATTGTTCTAGAAGTAAAATGAAACAGAAGCTTCTGTAAATTAGGGGTCCGTTTGTTTCGGGTGAAAATATTTTCCAGGAAAATATTTTCCTAATTTCCCATGTTTGGTTGCACAAAAGTTATCTTATGGAAAACAACTTCCTTTCCAAACTTACTGAAGTTGTTTTCCAAAATGCATGTATCCCGCCTGTAGTATGTTCCAAACTTACTGAAAACATCTTGTAGTATATTCTTTTATTTTTTTAGTGTAAACAGGAGGACTCGAACCCAAGATCTCTTCCTTACACTCCCTCCCCCGTACCATCCAACCCAACCCTCCCCCTAGTATATTCAAAATAAAAAAAAAAACCTCATCTTGCTCATCCTATGCTAGTAATTAATTATGTATAATAGAGATATTCTTTTCTAGAGAAACTTGCAGCAGTGAGAGTGCAAGATATATGTCACAATAAACATTGCATGTGATTGATATTTGACATTAAATGGCCAACAATTTGTTTATTACTTAAGAAGATATTTTTTATTCATATATACATTTCTCCAAGATTTTATAAAGTTAAACAATGAGATAAATTTTCTTATTTTGCATGGGAAGAAGTACGTAGTTATAATGTGTAGAAAGTAACGATAGAGATAAAAGTGAAAATATTTCAAAAGTTAAACAAACACCAGAAAAATGAAGTAAGAAAATATTTTTAATAAGCTAACCAAACACCTGAAAATGATGAAAGGGAAATAATTTTCATGAAAAATTACTTCCACGGAAAATATTTTCTCAAGGAAAACATTTTACTTCCAATCAAACAGACCCTAGATGTATTCTCGCATGGGAAGTGAGACATTTGATTACGCCCACTGTCAACTCATTCTCCAAATCTAAACTTCACTTAACCTATTTATCAAGAACTCATTTTTTTTTATGATAAAGATTTTAATAAAAACGGATCCAATAGTTGGGCTAAATAGTAACAGCATCAGCTCCACTTTTGCTTGAACTCTTCATATCACTTCAACCCTATATCAAGAACAGGGAAAAATCAGCTTAAATTTCTCCAAGATTAAACCTATTAAGAGCTTGTAATCGAATTCCCAGCAATAATTTTGTCTAAAATCAAGAGTCAAAATAAGATAAACCAACCAAGAACCAGTGTGCTAATTATACTACTGTTATCAGATACATCACCGAGAGATAATATATGTTTCTGAATAACCTGATTATTAATGATATAAAGGACTTACTTAATCAAATGACTTGATAAACAATCTTGG